TTAATTATTGCTTTTAAAGCCATGGAAGCAGGTAACCCTACTTTATTTTGCTTCATTGATTACCATCTAAAACAGGGGTGTCAAACTGCTAGCCCAGAGTTGGATGCATCGTGACGAAACCGTGCCCACCCCATTGCCAGCAATGGGGAAAAAGTCACGATATGTCACAACACGTCACGTGATGTCGCAAATTTGACACCCCTGATCTAAATGAATCCATGTTTTACTTTTATTTTGAAAAAAAAATAAACCTCTTCTCTAATTACCTCAGGTATGATACCCGAATCACTTTATCACTGTTATAATAATATATGATTGTTGAGCTATATATTGTTGAGATGATATCTCAAAGGTACTTTGAGATGATATCTCAAAGATACTTTTTCAAAAGGCAGCTGGGCTGAATTGATGAAGAATGGTTGAAACTTCTTGGATGAGAAGTGAAACATTTTCTTCTTTTTCCTCAAGGAAAAAACAGACCAGTTGCCTTTTGAAAAAGCATCTTTGAGACAATTATGATCTGGATAATCTTCACAGACATCCCAGATGATAGTTGAAACATGCCCAATCTTTCCTAACAGATGTACACCTACTAGATCTGCCAGGTAGGCATATTCTAAGTCCCCTTGATGAAGCACTGTCACATGATAGAGCTTCAAAAGCACACATTTTTAGTCATGGGTCTCTGCCTTATGGAACAGCTCCCCCACAGAAATACAATAGGGCCCAAAACCATTGGCCTTCAAAAAACTGGTAAAGAGCTACTTTTGCTCCTAGGCACTGAAGCTAGTGGTTAATAGAGCAGACAAGGGGTGGTAGGCAAATGGGTGATGGTTTTTATTGAGGCTTCAGTGTAATTTATTGCTTTAAATGGTTGTTTTATTGTATGTTGTTCACCAACCAGAATTTACGTTATTGTTCAGCACTCAGAATTCCTTTTGATAAATGGACAACTATATAAATTTGTGTCACAACAGTAGCTAATATTTGGATCTTGGATCTGTATTCAGCACACTAGATTTCTGCCTTAGCTTTGCTCTGGAAAGGATCTCCATTCATCCCAGTGACTGCTGAATACATACAGGTCATATAGATTGCTTTACTTGAACTTATCACTAAGGGGCTGTCACAAAAAGAGGGGGTCAACCTATTCTCCAAAACACCTGAAGTCAGAACAAGAAGCAAGAATGGATGGAAACTAATCAAGGAGAGAAACAACGTAGAACCAAGGAGAAATTTCCTGGCAGTTAGAACAATTATTTAATGGAATGACTTGCCTCCAGAAGTTGTGGGTGCTCCAACACAGGAGGTTTTTAAGAAGAGATTGGGTAACCATTTGTCTAGAATGGTACAGAGTCTCCTACTTGAACAGGACCTCCAAGGCCCATTCCATCTCTGTTATTCTGCAACCTATCATCAAAAGGCTCTTGTGAGGCTTCTCTTTAGTGCATGGATGTCAAACTCAATCGCATCACGTGATGTATCGTGATGTATTGCAATGTTTTTTGCCTTTGCGGAGCTGGGGTAGGCATTGCATGTGCATGATGTATCCAGCCCTTGGGCTGCCAGTTTGATACCCCTACGTTTAGTGTATGCACTGCATACAGAACAAAATGTATGAACACAAGCAAAAAAATTGCCTTTGGCTTCTGTGGTTATTCTCAACTCAATAGGAATGAAATGTTTGTTATATGTGAATTCATTTGTCTTGACTTCCTGGACGATGGGATTTAAAGAAATGAATATATGAGCACATTTTTCTGTATTGTATTTTACATTACTTTTTAAAGTAGAATTCCCTTGGAGAATTGTCCTTTCCTGTTTGCTTACTAGATTCCGATCTACATCAATGAGCACTGATTTCTACTTCCATAATTTGTGCTGATTGCTGATTCTTCTTACTCTATTCCAGCCTCCAATTTATATTCTTTTCTGTTAGCCTTTCATGCTGTCCTTCAGTCCAACTGAGTTACAATATACAAGTTACTACTCTTTTAAACATTATGATTCATATGAGTAACTGGGGTGTTGACCCCTATATATCAGAAAAATTACTGTGCCCCCATGCTAGTGTTTGAATCTTTTTAATTTGGCTTCAAATGTAGTTCAGTTACAGCCAAACCCCACATCTCTAATAAGAGTCTCCACTAAAGGAAAGATGAAAGTTGCTTTTTAACTCAGTCTGAGCTGTGTCTGACAACAGCAATTAAGTAATTTAATCAAGAATGATATTGCTCTTTCTGCCAGAGCACACCTAGGCTATGATCCAGTAAGTGGACTGCTGCATTGGGATTTAGGATGGTTCTTGTTTCAGACATCTCTTCTTAGTTTTTCTTTTATAAATCTTTTGCTTTGTTTTTTGCCGTTCCCCTCACCCCACTGACACTCCCCCCCCCCACCAGTTGGATCTGTTCTGGCAGACTGTAATGGTGAGTGGGAATGACCTTGGGAAAAGTGGGTGGGAGGAATTGCTATCTAGGGGATGGTCAGATAAGAGACAACATAGCCCACAACTGCATAATGGGAGGAGAAAGAGGCTCAGAAGCACCCCATCACCCTTCCCCCCCCCAAGGTCACAAACTGCAAAGAAGACAGTTGGAGATTCCTATTTTCAGACTTACAAGACTAGCAGTAAAATAGATTTTGTTCATCTGGTCATGTTTCCTGTCTGGTCTACCTGGGATAGTTGAGACAGATAATCCTTAAAAATAATAGAATGATTACAGCCTTCTAGTTTAGCCAAAAATATGTACATATAAAACTAACATTTCTGTACAGAGGCAGGAGTGATTAATCAGCAAAATGACTAAGCAGAAATTTTTACTGCATAATCTTATGAAGCAGTGGCATAGTGAGCATTCACATTTAATGTTTAGCAGTGAGATAGCTTTGAGATCCATGCGAGAAGCAGTTGTACCCAGGTAAGAGACAGTTAGTAGCTTATGCCTATTCTTCTTCTGTCTCCATTCATTGACAATTCTGTAGTGCTTTTTCCTGATCTGATATATAGTAATAAATCTAAATGAAGTTTGTAGGCAAATTGAATAATTTATGTACTTATTCATTCAGTTTGTATGGCTGCCCATCTTTAGACGTATTTCTGGGTGGTGAACAAAATTGCAATAATTGCAATAATACAAAAATTAAAATACATAGCAGCCAAGAAAATATAACATTCCTTAATCACTAATACACAAATGGGCATCTGCAGAGTCTTCAGGGTCTCAGGTCTGGACACAGACCTAGATCTTTAAGATCTTACAAAAGGCCAGTAAGATTGGAGCCACAGTGGGATGGGATGTCCAGTGTGGTATGATCCATTGTCAGGTAAGGCAAGATAAGTGGCAGCAGAACTGGAGCAAGTAGAGGGACAAGGGACTCCCGGAGGCACAGCATGTGTTCTGGAGTTTGCATTCAAAGTATTGACTGTGGAGAACCGTCCTGTAGGCTTTACCCTGAGGTAGAGGCAACCCCAGGGACAACAGTGTCTCTACTCAATCTCAGCCCAACCTCCTTCTTACAAAGCCTTGCAAGGATCAGCAACTTCAATATGGACTGCAGAAACTACTTGGGAGGTTTTGCAGGAGGAAGAAGGTAGTGAGCTATGTGCCAGGTGTGAAGCCCTGGAAAGTAGACTGGTTATTCAAAGCCCCCCCCCCGCTCCTGAGATGCTGCACTGTACAGGCGGCAAGGCACAAAGAAAGTACCTGTCCATAGATCCAGTTTGAGATGTGCCCAGGGTTATGCTGAATAGGAAGCTGCCAGCCAGGCTGTGGTTGCTCCAGGTCATAATCCATAGCTTGTACTTGCCTTGCTTTTGCTTTTATGGGACACTACTCCCCCAGTAATAAGTGTGTGCTTTGCAGTACCTCATTTAGTACCGGGAACAGTCTGGTGTGCAGAGCTCCAGCAGGCAGACTGGGCATGCATGCTGAGATTATGTGGTGGACTGAAAAAGTGGGTCAAACTCACCAGAAGTCTGGCAGCAGTGGTGAGCTCCTGCCAACAGAGTTTCAGAAGATGATGAAGGTCAATTGGGGGTGATGGGAGGTGACAAAAGTAACCAACAGAGTGCAGGGTGGCCAAAGAGGTAGAGATCGGTGTGTGGGGGAGGAGATAGGCAAGTGGGGAGAGCTGAAGTGGAGGTGAGTATATTAGGGCAAGAGAGGTGTGAGGCCTTTGTTTAACAACTAGAACTGGGACTATTGGAACTGCTGTTGCTAAATAGTGCAGTCACTCGATGAGTTGCCAATTTTCTCTTAGCAATGGAACTTCCACTCCAAATTAGGGTCAATAAACAAGGACTACCTTTAGATTAAAATGAATTGGCATTTAGGGCTCAGAACTTTAGATTTTAAAAAAGTAGAAACACCCCCCCCCCCAATATCGTTACACAGTGTATTCCAAAGATACTACACATGGAAATACAGCTAAATGATCTAGAAAAGTTAAATGAGCTACTCAGAAGCCCTATATTATCTTCATATTAGACAGAATATGATCCTGGAATAAAAGGGAGGTCCAAATTCCACTTTGCCTTATTCAACAAAAGTGCAAAATCTCATTTGAAGCAGACATATTTTTTTAAAAAAGAAACTATTCAAAATAGTATATTGTAAGTCTCCCCACAAACATTTAAAATTTAACAAAAGTTTTTATCTTCAGTGTTTCCCAGAATGCCTTGATTTGGTATCCAAAAGTTAAATAAATCAACAGAGAATATAATTTGTTACAACTTCCCTATTTAACAAAAAGGCAATACTTAATTCTTCTTTTTATAGAGGCTCCTTATTAGTCACGCAAAGTGACTCGGCAGCATGTACATTAAAACATTGTACAAGTCATTAAAAGAATAAAAATTGGTAAAACAAGACTATGAGGGAGAAAATATTAACATGCAATATTAATACCAGAAGATCCCTAGGCTTCCTGAAAAGAAAAAAAGAAAAATCACATTTGAGAGCTTGAGGGAAGGCAATAAGAGTTAGAACTAACTTTACCTCAGGAGGAGGGATGATGTTTCAGAGGGCAGGTATCACAGAAGAAAGGGCTCCTTTCCCGGTCCCATCAGATGAAACTCCTTCGTGGATGGGACCCTTATCATGCTTCTCCAGCCAGACCTGGTGGGATTGATAGATGTAATAGGAAAGAGGAAGTCCCTCAGAAACCTGGCCCTATGCCATCAAGGGATTTAGAGATCAAAACCAGCACCCTAAATTGAACCTGGAAGCAAACTGGCAAATAATCTAGCTCACAGAGCAGAAGCATAATGCAAGTCCACCTAGGGACATTTTGTATCAGCTAAAACCTCTGGATACTCTACAAGAGCATCCCTGATGGTATACGTAACAGTTGTACATTAGGAACGTGACCAGGGCCTGAGTGACTGTGAACAGAATCTCACAACCCAGAAATGAGCTTAACTGATGCACAAAATGAAGATGCATAAAGAGCCACCAGGCCACGACTGTCACCTGCTCTTTAAGCAGGAGTTGTGAGTCCAGAAGGACTCCTAGCTTGCTCACCAGGTCTATTTGAGGTAGGGCCACCCCATCCAAAACCAAAGATGATAAAGTACTGGATTCATTAGTTCCTAAAACCCAAAGCCACTCAATCTTCTAGGGTTCCACTGAAGCCTATTGTTTCCCATCCAGACCTTTACAGCATCCAGGTTGGGACATCCACAGGACTGCTTAACTCACTAGGAGTCAAGAGATGTAATAAAGCAGCAGCTCCCAACCTTTTCTATACCCCACACACCTAGAAAGCTTCTGATATATTCTCTCATCCCTTACAAAAGTTCTAAATAATGGCAACAAATTATGCATATATACTATAATTTTGAAAACCCAAGTTTTCGGACCCCCGGGAATATCCTCTCGCACCCCCGGTTGGGAACCCCTGTAATACAGTATCATCAGCACCCTGATGATAACTCAGTCTATGGTGACTGATGATCTGCCCTAGTACTGTATAATTTCTCTAGGTATTTTTTTCCTCCTTGCAAGGCCAAACATGTTTTAAATAATTATTTTATTGGCTTCCATTCATATTAATAATTTCAGGTTTGTCTATGAAACTTTTCCCCAGAGGAAAATGTCTAGAATTTTTATATAATCTTTTTTTATACTTTGTGATCTACATACAATTAACTGAATTCTAAATATAGGCAATTAAATGCTTAAAAGCTCCAAATTAAATGGGTATTTCTAATATCCACCATTATTTTCCCTTTATGACTTTTGCTATGAAAATCTCCAAAATTTTCACAAAGTTTCTAGAGAAAAGATGAAATGTAATTATTTCTAATTGTGATTACTTCATTTGAGATTTTACTTTTGCACAGTGACACCTTGTGGTCTGCAAAGAGATTGTTCAAATGGAGTCTATGAGGAAGCATAAATCTGACAGCTGCCTAAGTCAAGTACTAAGCCAAATTAGAGACCCCCCCCCTCCAGATCTTGCTGGTGTCTACTTGTTATCTATGAACACTGGCTATGCCAGCTGAGGCTGAACGAAGTGCACACTGCAAAAACATCAAGAAGGACTGACATTTCCCATCTTGCTCATTTTTGCTTGTTTTACAATTTAGAACAATAAAAAAATGTTGCTATTTTTAGATAGTTGGCTGGAGAGATTTTTCTTTTTGTATTTTGGCTGTGCTAGGTGTGAAACTAACATGAAGCAACTATAGACACATAATTATGATTAACATAAATAGCAGGTCTCCACGCTAACATAACTCCTGCTTTTTTTCCTTCTTCTTCTCTCTCTCAATCTAACTTTCCCATTTTTTGAGCCACACTTTCTACAGGACTCAACTTGAAATATGGCCATACAGAGCCAAATTCCATGGAAGCTTATTTTAATGAAAAACTTACAGCTGTGGTGAAACTAAGAAAATAACAAAGACTTGAATGAGATTATAACATTTAAATGAAGTCAGTGGAAACACAAAAGAAGCAAATAAACAATTAACCTCCACTATTGGGATGCTGTTCTTCCAGAAATATTCTGATGAAGCTGCATTGTATCCCTACTCTGCAAAGAGGATATGTTAATACAGTAATGTATGGATTCACACAAAAGCTTTACACAATTGTTATACATTTTAAAAAATGCGTTTGGGGAGAAAGTACCATAGAGGTCTAGTTATTTTACAGTCTGTTTTATCCCTCAGGCTTAACATAAAATAATAACATGTTTTTATCAACATTCTGGATCGTTTTGTTGCCACTGACAAATAGCAAATAGCAAAACATGGACACTCAGATTGATTTGACTTAATACTCATCTAATAACTCAATTGTTTCCCCTACATTTTCAATACAAGACCACCAAGAGTTTTGAGATATAATTTCTGATCTGTGAACACTGAGTATTAATCAGTGGAATGGCTTGCTTCCAGAAGCTGTGGATACTCACTGGAGATTTTTAAGAAGAGATTGTACAACCATTTGTCTGGAATGGTATAGTGTCACCTGCTTAAGCAAGGGATTGAACTAGAAGACCTCCACGGTCCTTTCCAACTCTGTTATTCTATATAGTATTTCCAACATATGAATACTGGACATAATATCTAAGAATAGAAATTACTATGAAGTCAGAATATTTTTTAATTCTTACATTGATTTGGATGGTGCCAGCTGCCAGTTTTATCTTCTTTGTCCATAACAGTAGTCATAACCTCATCTAGGATAGCAGGAAAATGAATCTGGAACTTTTTGCATGCAGTTCCACTGCTCCTCTCGAGGCTATAGAACACCAAAAGGTGATGCCTCTTAACAGATAGGAAACTTTGTAAAAGTCTACTCAATAGAATATCTCCATCTAAGTCTTAAAATCACATAAGAAGTGGTCTGATGCAGCAACAGAAGAGAAAAAAAATAACATGAATAGGAATGCACATTTTAAAATAATCCAGCTCATGGAATATTTGAACTAGACAGCCCAATTAGAATGTGACAAAGCAGTAGCAGTGTCAATCTTGTAGAGAGATGTGAATATATACATGGAGTATCATGTGGCTGCCTTACAGATCTCTTTTGGTAGGGCGTTATGCCAGACGATGGCCATTACATTTTTTGCCCTAACAGAAGGAGCTACAACCCTCTCTGGCATAATCTGAGGAAAATACTGATGCAATACACTCCAAAAGCCACTAGGTGTCTGTGATAATATTTGTTGCCTTGTCCATGTGGATGTGGTTTGAAGAATACAAATCAGGAACTATCTGAGTGATTTTACACTACTTTTGTACTATCTACTGTTCTCTCTCTCTCTCTCTCTCTCTCTCTCTCTCTCTCTCTCTCTCTCTCTCTCTCTCTCTCTCTTTGCAGGTTCCTTCTGACCCTAATAGGAGAGAGAGAGAGAGAGAGCGAGAGAGAGAGCGAGAGAGCAATTTGATCCTTCAGTGCAGTCCCACAACAAATGCATCACTTGAACACCATCGGCATTGACAAATTCGTCATCAGTCAATTGCAAAAGGTGGCTTTACTTGAAACAATTTATATCCTGCAACAATATCCGTAACACCATCAAACATCCACATCTGCCTATCCCAGATCCTTGGAAAGGACCCGACAGGTAGGCAATAATTGAGGAAGGTGGCCGTATTAAAGAAATCTATTGTTCTAGTTTCCTTTTCATGGGATGGGGCTTCTAATACAGGTTTGCCCCATTGCCATGAGGTAAAAAGTCAATATAGTTATTGGATGGAAATCTTACCTCCATCTGGAAGGAGTTGGAAACACCACCACCCCAACTCTTCCATTTATTTTCTAATTTGCTACATAAAAATGATCAGCTTGGCTGTTCCCTGCTGACATCTTGATAAATAGCAATTGTGATTAATAAAGTTCTAACTCCATATAGAGCAGAAAGAGTTCCCTATTTTTTTTGGCAAGGCTGGAACAGTAAATAATTGCTTCTGTAGGCATTTTACATCTATTCTTTGTCAGCTAAAATAGGAGTGGGGAAGTACTGACAGTGTGAGATTGGAGAAAATATATTTCTGAAATGTAGCATATTCATAGCATCTCTTTTTCATCAGCTTATTATAAGTAGCTTAGGTCAGCTGACTGGCAGAGATAAATCTATGCCTAGTTTAATTATATTAATTTTCATAAAGAATACAAAACCTGAGTTTCTATAGAAGGCTGCAGTAATATATATTTTCTATGATTGTTATGTGTTCATAAAAGATCAGATGGTTTTAAAATAAGTAAAAAAATATTCAAATCTCCACTGAATGGCATGGAAAGACATTGACCATCATAATCAGACATGGACTAAGCAGAATGTCCAAGTTTCATGTGATATTGCTTATTTTTCCATCATATATTTCAGAATGTAGATTTTATAATTCAAAATGGCTTTAGAATATTGCTGTGGGACAGGACAAGTTACCCTGTTGCAATTATTTCATAGAAAAGATATTTCATACACATGCAATCTATTGAAAAATTTAAAGTTTAAGCCTCACAATCTAATTAACAAAGCTGAAGGCACTGTAGGGATTTGAAAAGCAATAATTCATTTATTTTCATGCTAATCTTTATGAAAACCTTATCAACCAGGCTAACATCATCTTTGATTACTTTACACTAGCAGGCAAAAAGAGTTGTTCAAGAAGGCTTTTGACTTCTTGAACTAGGTCACGTCACATATAGTTTAATTTAAGTGATCTGAGTATACTTTTTTTCTTGATTGACTATCTTTCTATTAGAAGTATGGATTTTATCTTTGATTTTATCACTTTTATCCATTTTGGAATAACATTTGTTTGGAAAAGATGAAATGCAAACGTAATTAATAAGTTACACTGGCTTGAAAACAAAAGGGCAACTTTGCCATTGCCTGACTAAAAGGGTCCTTTCAACCATTTTCAAAATTTCCACTAAAACTGACTATTTTGTATGCAGCAGGGATCTCTGTAAATGTTACTAAATTGGGCTCAGAATATAAATACATGTTTGTTTCTGAAATATATGGCAGAGAAGGTAAAAAGCAAGACAAGCATAATTATGAGATTTTGTATAATTTCCATTTGAAAATGTTAAAATAGATTGCATCTTAGATTACCATGACATACAAGGATGCACTATTGTCTACTGCTTCAGTTTCTCAGAAGATTCACAGAAGAGATATGGGGAAATTATTATACCAGTGAATGCTCTAAGGCTGCAGTACAAAAGATCCTTTCTATTTGTTCCTGGTTGCTTGAAAAAGAGATGGAAGAAATTGTGACAGTAGCCTAGAATACCTAACAAAGATAGGAGTCCCATCTATTGATTCTTCTAATGACCTTTCTCTTTATCCCCCCACCCTCACTTTTAGGTCTAGTTCTGCCAAATGGTGGAATTTGACCTTAGGCAAAATTTCACTGAGGTAATCCAATCCTCAGGGTAGAAAGAATTCATCATCCTTGCCATAGAAAGATGCTGCTTCCACAATTTTAGGCCTGAGTGAACTATAAGTAATTTGGAACAAAGGAACAAAGGGAAGAATCTTTGCAAAGGGAAATCATAAGTATAGCCATTTCACTTGAACATGGGGTTGATTTCATGGGCAGCAACCGATGGTCCATAATCAATGTTATATCCAAGGAGATTTTCCTCCCTCCCCAAATACTGAATTTTCCAGTATTCCTTATTTAAATAAATAAATGAAAGCAAGACACTGCTTAATAAAAGCTGGTATAGGTAGTCCTCGACTTACAACTATTCATTTAGTGACTGAATTTACAATGGCATTGAAAAAGGGAACCTATAACCATTTTTCACACTTACAAGCACTGCTGCATCCCCAGGATCAAAATTCGGGTGCCCGGAAATGGGCACGTATTTATGTTGATTGCAGTGTCCCTGGGTGATGTGATCACATTTTGTTGCCTTCTGGCAAGCAAAGTGAATAGGGAAGCCAGATTTACTCAACAACGGTGTTCCTAACTACACAACTGCAGTGATTCACTTAACAACTGTGACAAGAAAGATTGCGCAATGGGGAAAAACTGACTTAGCAACTATCTCGCTTAGCAATGGAAACTTTGGGCTCAACTGTGGTCATATGTCAAGGACTACCTGAACCTAACTTTGTAGAATTATTTAATAAATAGGGAATATGCATTCATCCTTTGCTTTTTAAAAAAAAAATAGCTTCAAGAGTGCACCCACACTTAACTTTTTTCATAAAACACACTTGCAGATAAGGAATAAGATATCCCCCATACTAGATAAGGGCATTGTGATATACAGTATATGTAGTGCATAAATGACCAGGTCTTCGGCCACTTCCTGAGACATGCACAATATGTCTGAATTGAAAGTATGGCAGCAAGCAAAGATAGTAATTCAATTTTTTAAAAAAATCACCTTTAACTGAGAAATCAAATATTCATAGAGGATAATCAATCTAGAGGAAAAAACATGGCAGAACCAGCATTTAAGCACTTTGTGTCACTCTGCCCAGTCTGAGTTACCACCTGCATCTCCAACGCTGAAATATAACTCCAATTCCATAAGCCCTCTAGATTCTACTGCTTAATTTTCTGCTTCAAAACCTTTGGCCTCTTAAACTGAATTCATACATTCACAGAAATATTATAGTAATAAAATCCTATCTTGTAGTTGCATTCATCAATCCTATCTTACTCGAATTTTCCTATTCCTGGGTATCTGATCGGACTGCATTTTCATACATTGCAAATAGCAGAGATTTAAATATGATCTCATTCACAGTAGGATGTAATCCAGCAAAAATATACAGAAGGCATTTGGAGAAAGCAGTGCAAAAATAGATAGGAGATATGGATTCAAACCTTTGTTTTTCAGTACCTGTCTGCAAACTACTTATCACACATGATAACATTTACTTGTGATAAGGAATGATTGGCAGGCACTATCATTTTAATAGCTCTGCTCTACTACATAATACTCTGTCTTCAGATGAATATCTGACCACTAGCATTTAGGCATGAAATGAAGAATGGTACCTGCTGCCTCCAAATGCTATTTTCGTGTGGCAGTGACATCTTCCCCCACGTCCTGACCTCCTCCCTTGAAGGGAGGACAGCCATTCCTTTGATGGAAACTAATCAGCATCAAAGATGATATTGAATTTGTACTAACATAGACTTCCGAAGAGCAAGTTCAGGCAAACATACAGTAGAAGCCACACCCTGGCATAAAGGACTTCATCATAATGAAATCCTAGCCTCACTCATCCCATCAAGTCAGGGCAGAGAACTGGAAGCAGAGCTTATTTGACTATTGCAACAACTTGCTCTGCTATTACTAAATCCTGCTAAAATTCAGGAATTAATTTACAGCCAAGTAGCAGAGCTGTGGGAGAGAACAAAAACAACAAAAAGGTTAGGACAGGATTATGACCAAAAACAATCTACTGTATGTGATCCTGGCATTTTCCATGTAGTGTATGTGGATAAAAGACTTTTCAGCTGTGTGTACTTTAAGTTTTGTATAGATTACTGAGCTCTAGTTAAAACAAATATATTTACTTAAGGAATTTGAATTTAATAGATTTTGCCTCAAATAATGGAGATCACACAGAAACAAAACACCTAAAAATACAAGGGGAAAAAATCAAGTGTGATGCTCACCATTCTATCAATTCAAACAGGCACTACAGCGTGGTAAAAAGAGAGGTTTTTTTTGTCAACTTAGATAAAGCCAAACTTGCTAGTTCTATTCCTCTCCCATAAATATGTCCAGGTGATACCCCTGTGAATATATATATGTGTAAGAAATCATATTTATGACGGTTACAGTGTCTCATGTAATCATCTTTTGCGATCTTCTGATAAGCAAAGTCGATGGGGAAGCCAGATTCACCACACAACTAACTTAACAACTGCAGTGATCCACTTAACAGTGGCAAGAAAGGTTGTAAAATGGGAAAACATTCACTTAACAACTGTCTCACTTAGCAACAGAAATTTTGGGCTCAATTGTGGTCGTAAGTCGAGGACTCTCTGTAGTCATGTAACTGAAGACATCTAATCATAAAGTTGAAGGAAACAGCTAATACTCTAGAAGAGCAAATAAAATCATAACCATTAAGCAGGATATAGCAATGAAAGGTTAGTAGAGACAAATGCATTTTTTTTTTACTTAGGAAAGAAAAAAATAATGCACAAATATAGAATGGTGCATTTGGGGCCTACTAATAGTACTTGTGCAAATGTATTGTGGAAATTGTGCAGATGTATTGGAATAGGAATTCATTACAAACTGAGTCAGCAGTGTGATGTGACTGCAAAAAGGCAACTGCAATTTACACTACATCAACAGGTGGATAACTTCCAAATCAAAGAAATTAATAGTTTCACTTCTTTCTGTATGGTAGCCACAATGAATATTGCAGCTACTGCTTGCCAACATACTTTAAGCAGGTTCAGAGAAAGATATGATGATTAGAGACTGTAGCATTTTTAGCCTTAAAAAAAGAAATAGGGAGGATATGGTAGTACTTCAGATGCCTAAAATGATATAGGAGGGTTCAAGTGGAGGCTAATGAGCCATCTTCTGGGTTATTTGATTCTTACATACAGTTGGTGGTTAGAATCAATTATCTAAATGGCTCCTTCCGATTCTATGATTAATTCATGCTGTAAAACTCTAACTTTCATTGTGTCTGCTTCACCCAAGCAAGAGAGCTTCCATTTTTTTCTTTCTTTTTCCTTCAGAGTTTAAAAACAAGACTGAAGAAAAAGAGAATAGTGCTTTCTCCATTCTGCAATTTGAGGAATACAAGGGTGCCCTAAGATCAATGTCTGATAGCTAATTCAGAAAAGCCGCAGCCTTTCAAAACTGAAAGTAGCAATAATAGATATATATATATATATTTCAGAATGCTATTTAGAATATATTTCACTGAAAACATAGGTAAATGTTATGTATAAAATAAAGCAACAGGCTTCAAAGAGGAAATGTGAAAAAGTAATGTGTATACCTGCCTAAGATGGTGATTATGCCTCACAGAAAATTTGCTTTGAATGTTTGTCTTGAACACATACAAAACAAAATCAAATCCTAACATATTTTTATGTTAAAAGTGACTAATAGACCTTTAATAATTCTGGAAATTTTCCCTGTACAATTCAGGAGGCAGCTTTAAAATGTTCCCTTTCCTTCCTGTAGCCTGCAAACTTAAAAAAAACACCTTCAAACCTCTAGCAAATTCCTCCTTTACTATTTGACCTCAAGTGGAAGGAAATTGTTCTCAATGCATATACCGTATTTTCCGGTGTATAAGAACGACTTTCTAAACCATGCAAATCTTCTCCAAAGTCGGGGGTTATCTTATACGCTGTCTTATGCGCCGGAAAATATGGTAGATTTAATTTACTAAGAGTAGAACTGATTGCTCCACAAGTTAACTATGGCCTGTCTTGAATGAATGGAAATCTAAGCTTGGTTTACTATAGATGCCCTTTATGTGTGCTATCTCATTATTCCAATACTTATTTCAATTCCAACATTTAACAGTAGTTCTCAATTTGTGGTCCACGGATCACTGGAGGGATGCGATGTCATCACAGGGGATTCACAAAAACTTGAAGAAATGTTAGGATTTAAATCTTGAGTTAAGTCTTAGTGGTCTGTGGCCACAAAAGGTCTGTGGTGAAGAAAAGGTTGAGAACCACCAGGCTATAGAGTTACATGAATGTATAGTAAGGTGAATACAAACAATATGTTGTTAAAGTAAATTTAAATTATTAAAAGTATTGAAATATTTCATTTGAAATAAATACCCATCTACGGCAGCTCAAATGAACTTTGGCAAGCTTCCAACATAAATGATTATGCATGAACCAACAAAACAAGCCTGGCCATATGAATTTGGTAGAAGTTAGTTTGAGAAAGAGGGATAGGGAAGAATATGTTAGGATATAGGGAAGAAAAATATAGGGCTGACAGAAATGATAGGAAGAAACAGCTGTCTTTCTTCCCTAGTAGTTTGCTGATCCAGGTGCTTCACAGGTGGAATAAATGACATTTGGAACAGAGCTGAAAAAGTACACACCTTTCATTGCAATCTTGTAGGATGAAAACGTTCCCCTTTGTCCAGTTTTGTTTCGATGCCTTCCCCAACTGGACCCCACCCATCTTAAACTATTCTAACAAATGAAAAGGAGGTGGAACAGTGATTTTGTAGGCTAAGACGTTTCATTGCATTCCATTAATTCATAGGCTACAATTAGCTATTCTCTGTCTTCAGCATTTGGAAACCAGCCATTATTCATTTCCTTCTCTAGAAACTTTTTTTTTTTATTCCAGAGCGTAGCAAGAATTTGACCACAGAAAGAAACTTAAGGCCCATCTTTAAGAATATGATGCACTTTCCAGTGTTTAATTTTTCAGGTCTTTTACATCTGATAATATTAATTAAGCAGTTAAGTCACTCTGACATGCTATGCAAGTCAGTACTGGGTCCCATTCCAGTAGTGACCTATTACGCCAATTTGCTGAAACATCTTCTAACAGATACCAACAAAAAGTTTACTTTTAAGGAATGCTGTGGGTTGGGATGACATTCCTGGGGAAACAATGGAAGGCTGCATCAAGAGGCAAAAAAGGGCCCTGGCAGTTTATTTAGCCTGAGTCATTCTTTGAGAGGAGGAATGTTAATGAGTCAGGATTTCAGTGATCCAAACTGGTATTGATGTAGAGATTAGGAAAATAACAGCCTGAAGGAGCAGAAAAAAAAAACATTTAAAATGAGCAAAGAAATCCACTTCCAGTGGCAGCAGCCTCTCCAATAGTGAAGCTTAAGCACTACAAGAAACATAAATAAATGTCTCTTCCTCCTTCCCATTTTAGAGATTCTCTAGGAGAGAGTCAGTAATAATGTAGATGCTGCAAGAATGTGGGATTTCACTGGCCATTTTACTTCAAGTTAAATGTTCCCAGTTAATTATTTCCCATTGTGAGTTTGAATTTACTTGGAAGTTAGAATCATAGTGAAAAAGACTGGAAGCATTACTGAAAGCAATGGATAGACAAATCTTCCTAATGTATTCTGTTTTGGGTTTGTATAATATAGCGAATACAAGCAGTATGTCAGCCAGATGTAGTGACCCAGTCAGGTGCCCCCACCTCTGATATCTGCCTGAGACTGAAAAACTGTGTATCAAACATTTATCAGTTGATAGTTAATGAGTTGTGCTTGGCCTGGTAGGTCACAAATTGAAAAAAAAAGTCAGTTACTATGAAATGCATATCTCTAATAGATTTCAGCAAGAATCTAAAAGCGAATCTGTAGTCACAAGAAGTTGTTCCATGGGAATGATTCAGGCTAATTTACAATCTTTGACATACAGATTCTGTGATATATGAGCACAGGGGTCCTGTACTTATTACACAACACCAACACAACACAATTATATATATAAATTGCAGGTAGTCAAATGCATTACAAAAAGAAATGCAGGGTTGGTTTCATATCCATAAATACTTTGAGAGACCATCCATAAACTGTTCTTATGTACACATTTTGCTAGTGATAAATAGAATAGGTAATTATGAAATAGAGGTTGCAAAGAAAAACAAAGATCAAAAATTGCCAAGTCTACACTCTCAATGAAATCTTAGCCTGGATGATAATAGGCGTTGTTGCCAACCAGTACCTTCTGCAAAGGGAGGTTGGCATGGAGGGCTGCCAAAGGAAAGGAGATACCTTATAAACCTCATCCTTTTAACTTCCATGCATTTGTTTGTTGGGGAAAGATACTGGGAGCAAGTTTCATTTTGTTTTTCAAGTGTATTCAGATATATTTCATCAATGAGACCTTCTCCAAGCAGCCAATTTTGCTTCCAATTCCCCCCATCCCACTTCCTTATGGGATAAGTGGGAACAGACTGAGGAAAGCCAATAATGGTTTACTGAGTCAAATCCATCCATAATGAAGTTTCAGCTACAGGCTTATCTGTGTTTACCATTTAAGTTGCTCCCATCCTGTGGGGATTATGGCTTGATTCTAACTAAGAAAATTGTGTTCTGACTGAGAATAGTTGTTAACAGCTCACAAGGTATTCTAGTTTGGATTGCAAGGTACCATGCCTTCCCATTCTCTACTACTATTCTCTCCCATTTTCCTGAACAAAACTGATTTATTTGGTTTTTGTCTAAATATGATAAATATGCAGACCCATTCAGTTTGGATTAAAAAAAATATGGCTTAGTGAAATACTGTATGT